ACCAACTTTCCAAAACCAAAATCACAACCTTTCCTCCACTACACATTGCCGCAAGTAACTAAACGTTCCTCCCATTGTTCCACGTTTTCGCACATTATGGAAACAATAACTCATTGCAGACTTTGATCGAAAAACAGCTTCCGCTTTTGAGTTCCCGCTCCAATAGCACTCCCGCTGTATTTTGATTGACGCAGCCTTCGGGTAATACCGGGATTCCAGAAATCAATTAACTCGACACGTTGTGAATGAAAATTACACAAATGCGCGGCTTCCTTTCTTTTTAAATTCTTACGGAATTTTATTAAGGATCGAGTATCTGAAATCCTTACTTTAATGAAGCTTTCTACGGATCAACCTCGTTTTTTGTTAGAAGCAATCAGAACGAGAAGAATCGCGTTTTAATAAGAGTTCTTGAAAAATTGGATAATTTGTAGGTTTTATACGGGAAGAGGATTTCGTATTCAAGTCTTGCTTAAAATTCTTTCGAACTTTGATACGGTGAGCAATATTTTATGTTAGAAGCTTGTTTCTTTTTTCTTGGAATTATTACAAAAGACTTTTAACTTATCCGGAATGTTTCTTTTGTACGATTGGGCTACATCTGTGCAAATATTCTAAAGCAAAGAGCGATGCAGTCAGTCGTGCGTTTCCGGTAATTTGAAACACTTGTGGTCATTGATTTAATGAAACATTGAAATGATTTATGATACGTGTCGGGATGATGTGTGTTGGAAAGACGATTTCAGGTTTTTAGAATTTGAGGATTTGGGATTTGAGAATTTGGCGATTTGAGAATTTGGGGATTTGGGGATTTGAGGATTTGAGAATTCTGGGGGCTTGAGAAGGTGGACAATTGAGAATTTGGGGATTTGAGAATTTGGGGATTTGAGAATTTGGGGACTTGAGAATTTGGGGACTTGAGAAGGTGGATACTTGAGAGTTTGGGGATTTGAGAAGGTGGACACTTGAGAATTTTGGGATTTGGGAATTTGGCAGCGTGAGAATTTGAAAATTTAGGAATTTGGGAGCGTGAGAATTTGGAAATTTGGGAATTTGGGGGCGTGAGAATTTGGGGACGTGAGAATTTGGATTTGGGGATTTGAGAAGGTGGACACTTGAGAGTTTGGGGATTTGAGAAGGTGGACACTTGAGAGTTTGGGGATTTGAGAAGGTGGACACTTGAGAGTTTGGGGATTTGAGAAGGTGGACACTTGAGAGTTTGGGGATTTGAGAAGGTGGACACTTGAGAGTTTGGGGATTTGAGAAGGTGGACACTTGAGAGTTTGGGGATTTGAGAAGGTGGACACTTGAGAGTTTGGGGATTTGAGAAGGTGGACACTTGAGAGTTTGGGGATTTGAGAAGGTGGACACTTGAGAGTTTGGGGATTTGAGAAGGTGGACACTTGAGAGTTTGGGGATTTGAGAAGGTGGACACTTGAGAGTTTGGGGATTTGAGAAGGTGGACACTTGAGAGTTTGGGGATTTGAGAAGGTGGACACTTGAGAGTTTGAGGATTTGAGAAGGTGGATACTTGAGGATTTGAGAATTTGAGGACTTAAGCAGTTTAGAGATTTCAGAAGTTGGGGTTCTGAGAATTTCAACTCTTAAGAGCTTGTGTATTTGAAAATTCTTAATAATAAAATAACTTGATATTCCTATAATTACAGGATTTAATTTTGGAGTCTCAAAAAGACCTTTAACACTATAGGTCACATAATCCTTTTACAAGTTTTTCATTTTAACTTACAAAATTTATTAAAACAATTTCCTTAGAATCTTTGCCTTCACGATTCAATAAGTAAACAATTCATGTCTACATTAATTTATGTTTAATCATTCGCTGATTTATTTTGCAACATCATTTCTAGTTTCAGAGTAAGTGTGCATTGTACACTGGTTGTCAATAAAAAAAATCGTTAACTTTGAGAAAATTTCATATTTAAAGAGTCTCAAAAAAGTCCATGTTTACCACACAATGTTTGTACCATATCATCCCAGGTAGTATCAAATGAATCCAACTTGAAAAAAGTCCCTTCATCCCCTAAAAAATCCCAGCCAGAAAATATAACGTTGTTCGTTGGATCTTCCGAATCCCTCCTGTCTGAAAGTAATCCTGTTGGCACACGTGTGCGGGCAGCATCCCTTTCGCAAGAGTATTGATTTTTCTCAGCCAGGGGTGGTAAATAAAAGAAGGGTGTATCGTTCGGGTCGTCGATCTAATTCTTCATATTACGGGTCCAACATTGACTCGTAATAAAGACGCGATAAAAATCGAACTTCTGATACGGATACACGTGTGAAAAAGAAGATAGATTGCACTCGACGGACGTATCGATGTCTTTATTGCCTGATATTGAAGTTCAATGGCGGATCAAATTCTACTTCAGTCATCTTTTCAATATTACGCTACTCTTTTATCCCTTATATTACGTTTTGGTTTATTGATTTTTTTGAAGCGATAACCGTGTAAAATTTTCCACGTTATGATTGATTATCGGAGGAGATTAAAGGTACTTTAAGTAATTGGTCAACTACTTAATGGAGATATACATGATCTTTTCGTACTGTTACTTGCAAGTAATCGTGAACGTTAATATCAACATTTTGATATATTTTGAAGATGCACTTCTAATAAATGTTTTATTAATTTATAAGTGTCGTAATTCCACGCGTTGTAATTCTACGCGTCGTAAATCCACGCGTCGTAATTCCACGCGTTGCAATTCTATGCGCTGTACATCCACGCGTTTAGAGTTCCATGCACTGTAAATTCACGCGTCGAGAGTTCCACGCGCCGTAATTCCACGCGTCGTAACTCTATGCGTTGTAATTCCACGCGTTGTAATTCTACGCGCCATAATTCCACGTGTTGCGAGTTCCACACGCTGTAAATTCACGTGACGAGAGTTCCACGCGCCGTAATTCCACGCGTCGTAACTCTACGCGTTCGCGCCATAATTCCACGTGTTGCGAGTTCCACACGCTGTAAATTCACGTGACGAGAGTTCCACGCGCCGTAATTCCACGCGTCGTAACTCTATGCGGCATAATTCCACGCGTTGTAATTCTACGCGCCGTAAATCCACGCGTCGCGAGTTCCACACGCTGTAAATTCACGCGTTGAGAGTTCCACGCGTCGTAATTCCACGCGTCGTAACTCTACGCGTCGTAATTCCACGCGTAGAAAGTGCTACGTGCCATACTTCCACGCACCGTAATTCTACGCGTCGTAAAGTGCTCTCAACTTGGACTTTCTAATTCAATTTCAAGTCGCCATTTCAAGTTTTCAGTTTACTATTAGTTTAAGAAATTGTCTTCTATTTTGAACCAGTAGACATTTTGACATTTAGACATCTTTATTAACATAACGATCAATAATTCACATCAACATTTCAATGTTCCACATTTGCAAATATTTCCAGCCATGACAATCGATTTTCACATTAGTCTTGCAACAAAAGGAAAATTTATTCCGATTAGAATCGTCCTACATTGTATCTTGACGAATGAGTTCCTGGAAAGTACAGTTCTGTTATCATCGGTTTCCCTTCGAACGGTTTTCCGTGGGGAAAACATTCATAGAAATATATTTTACCTTTCCAACTGTTGGGAGATAAAAGTCTGTCAGAACGCTTAAGCAAAGTGCTGTAGATCTTGCGTATCAAACTTGCTGATGTAGAAGTTCTGGATACGGAAGGACAGACTGGAAATCAATTTCTTGTCTTCCATGTGACAGATACTTTTAGTGACGTGGAAAATTTTCGTAGTTGCAGGTTTTTAAATTTGGGAGTCTTCAAGGTTAAATTTGGAGGTGCAAATTTGAGACTTGGGGAATTTGGGGATGTGAGGAGTTAAGGTAGGAGGATTTGGGACGTAGGAAATTTGGGACTATAGGAATTTGGGACGAAGGGAATTTGGGACGAAGGAAATTTGGGACCATAGGAATTTGGGGACGTAGGAATTTGGGGATGTAAGGAATTTGGGAACGTAGGGATTTGGGGATGTGAGAATTTGGGGACGTGGGGAATTGAGGACGTGGGAATTTGGGACGAAGGGAATTTGGGACGAAGGGAATTTGGGGACGTAGGAATTTGGGGATGTGAGGAATTTGGGAACGTAGGGATTTGGGGATGTGAGAATTTGGGGACGTGGGGAATTGGGGATGTGAGAATTTGGGGACGTGAGGAATTGGGGACGTGGGGAATTGGGGACGTAGGAATTTGGGGATGTGAGGAATTTGGGGACGTAGGAATTTGGGACCATAGGAATTGGGGTCCATAGGGATTTGGGACCATAGGGATTTGGGACTATGGGAGTTTGGGATTACAGAGATTTGGTACTATAAGAATTTGGGACCATAGGAATATACAAACTATTGAAGTTATTTTAAATCGTTTCTATCAAAGAGCAGTTTACAATAGGCCTCTGCAGGTTACTCGTCCCTGACCTTTGCTCCTCCAACCCCTTCTCGCTTCATCTTCCCACTCCACACTGCACCCTTTGAAAAATTGATTTTCACTTACTTAACCCTCGATGGCAATTTCTATTGAAAAATACTACTGCAAGCATAAATAAAATAACATTATACTCAATTACACTCAAGTTTTCAGGGATTTGGAGATTAAAAACTATTCCATTTTTCAGAATCCAAAGCAGGTGATTGTATCTCCTCTATCATCCTAATCCTTCATTATTCTAATTAGAATAAAATTAAAAACTACTTCATTTTTCAAAATTTAAAGCAAGTGAGTCTCCTCTATCAACCTAATTTATCATCTTAATTTTCTATCATCCTAATCTATTCCTTTAACCTAACCTATCATCCTCCTAAAGAAATTATCCTCTCAATTTCTCCTTCAAAATTCCCTCAGCGCAATCAGAACCCAAATAAAATCCGCTTCCGAATCGTCTCATCAGTCTCTCACCGTCATAAACCGCGAACCCTAATTCCTGAATGAATCGATCGGCGATCGTCGCTGACCTTGACACTATCGTTGCAGGGTCGAGGACTCGACGGTCGTTGCATTTTCAACGGAAGAGGAGTAGAGGTACAAGTTCGTAGCCAGTAGAACGAATCGGCGTTGCTCGTAAAAGTAGAAGGGAGAGGAGGTCAGCCGTTTATCGAGCGAGCTTAGCGAGTTAACGAGCAACAGAGATAAAACGAGAGAGGGAGAGCGAGAAATGGCCCCCACCTACAGCCCAGAGGAAATAGAGGGGCGCTCGTATAAGTATGTCTACAGCCCTGTACCAGTGAGTTCCTCTTCAGCAGTGTACGATTCAACCACCCTTGGAAAACAGCCCGTCGAGATCGGTGCCGGTTCAACGAGCTATCGTGTATCTAACGGTGTTCAAGACAAGTGTCGTGACTCTAAAATGACGGAAAAGGGCTCGACGTTCTTGCAGTACGTCGCTGCGGCGGCAGGTAAGGCAACCCCATTGCGTTATTGCATACCTCTGCTTCGGAGTCATGGGACGTCAATTCTAACCATGTGTGCCTTGCTCACTTTTTTATTATAACTTGCATTTTTTATTATAACTTCTACTTTTATTAGTACTTGCATTTTTTATTAAACTTGATGGGGTAAATTATAAATAGAATTAGACATAGGGTATTGAATTTGTAATTAGTTTGTTGCTGATTTTATTTATGGAAGTTTAGAGAAGTACACGTAGGGTATAGTATTTGTAATTAAGTTTGTTGCTGACTTTATTTATGGAAGTTTAGAGAAGAACACATAGGGTATAGTATTTGTAATTAAGTTTGTTGCTGACTATTTATGGAAGTTTAAAGAAATACACATAGGGTATAGTATTTGTAATTAAGTTTGTTACTGACTTTATTTATGGAAGTTTAAAGAAGTACATATAGGGTATAGTATTTGTAATTAAGTTTGTTGCTGACTTTATTTATGGAAGTTTAAAGAAGTACACATAGTTTATAGTATTTGTAATTAAATTTGTTGCTGACTTTATTTATGGAGGTCTAAAGAAGTACACATAGAATATAGTATTTGTAATTGACTTTGTTGCTGACTTTATTTATGGAGGTTTAAAGAAGTACACATAGAATATAGTATTTGTAATTAAGTTTGTTGCTGACTTTATTTATAGAAGTTTAACTTATTAGGTTTACTTACGTTTATAATTTAAGTCAATTTACAATTTATTCCTTTAAGAAAATTTACAATTTGTTCATCTAAATTTGACTTACAATTTATTTGAATTTTATGAAGTGTAATTCAAGACTTTCTATTAAAGTTCAACAAGTGAATTTCATTTTTGTTTTGAAATTGAATTGCAACAAAAGGGAAGTCTGTCATAGTGAATATTATAATTTTTGATCGTATTATAAATATCTTCAGCACTTGCTTACTTAATCACAAGTTTAAAATAAATAGAACATAATTATAAAATAAAATTAAATTGTACAATTGAATAATTTTTTTTATAAACTTGAAATCAACCCCTTCAGTGTAGTACAGCAGTCTCCTCTTTCTTGCACATTCAATTAATTTAAACGTTTGAATATTTCGTACAAAATGTCCACGTGAGTTAATCAATTATATAATAAAAGATTATCAGAATAAGTATGTCCTATGACTTCTGAATAGTGCATTTCCTCAAAGTGTGAAGTCACATGCAATGTTAAGAAATATCAATTTATCTCTGAATATGAATTGAGCTACGTGGAAAGGAAAAGAAGACAGTTTAAGTAAACAGTTTGATTCGAGAGCACGTTTACTGATAATTAAGAGTAAATTCGAATGTGAATCAACGTTAAATTATTTACTCGTGTAATTCGAATGAAACTTTCGTTTAATAATTTAGTGAGGAGGATGTTAGTTCAGGAAAAATGTATGTTTTCTATCAGTATTGCGTAGCAGTTCGTGAATCGAGTTAGGGAGACATGACAGTGGGTTTGGTGAACCCTAACCACTTGAAAGACCTTTTTTTACTGCAGCTACCGGTTTTGGGGTTGTAGACGTTTTATTTGGGGAACCGGCGGAAGCAGCATATGGTTTTTGCTTTGTTAAATTCTTTCTATATGTATTCATATGTAGGAACGTAGTTAAAAATTTTATCTGCATTCAGTCTAATTATTGAGTCAAAATAAATTACTCCAGTAACCTTCAAATTATAAATTTAAAATAAAACGTACATATTCCAAGATTTTTTAAATTGCAAATAACGTTGTCAATATTTAGTGATCAATTTGTGAAAGACAATCAAAATTTGAAAAATGTTAAAAATTAATATCAACAATTTTTTAATTATACAACTTGAATTAAAAATTGTAAATCAGAGGGTAGTTAAAGTGAGGTACTCAAAGTTTCAGATTTGAAGCACGTTTGACTAAAAATGAAAGATACGACAAATTAAAAATTGTATCAGTTATTTCTCAAGTAACTGGAATATTTATGTGGGCGTAGTTTAATTGATAAGTGAAGCTCGCCTATAAAATCCGCTAAATAATTGCAATTAATGATAGCATCGGATAATATTCTCTTGCAAGATACGGATTAGATAAACGTAATAAATTCACGTAGTAGCCTATCAAAAAACAAATTATGTAACACTTTCTTCGAAAAGCCCGCAAAACGCCATCGGCATTTAATTAATTACGAAACGCGAATGAAATTTACGAAATGGATACGATGACACTTGTGCTTCTCCATGACAAAATAGAAGCGGTAGAATGACTGTTCGAGTAGAAATGTTGCAATTAGCTAATCGCCACGGTAGAAATAATCGTATCTTTTATGACGCAATATGGATTATTGAACTTTTTCAAAGATTATTATTAGAGATAATTTCGCGAAGCGAAGGTAATGTATTACTCACGTGTGGCGATACAACGCGTGGTGATACAACGTTGTGATAGAACGCATTATGATACAAAGTACATTGATACAATACGTAATGATAAATATGATGAGAAATACGTTGTAATTTAGTATAGAAATCTGACAGAGATCTAATGTAGAGATGTAACATTTGTGGTGATTTAACAGATGGCAATTTAACGTGCGGTAATGTAACGCGTGGTAATCTATCACAGCGATCTACTGCACACAGTAGCTTAACATACGGTGATTTAACGCGTTGTTTTCTAGCGTGTAGAGATTTAATACGTGGTAATTTAACGCGTGGAAACATGACGTGTCGCTAATATATTTCGTGGCTAATATATTTTGACGCGTAGTAATCTAGCATGCGGTTACTCGACGTGTAGTTATTCAGCGCACAGTTATCTAACGTGTAGAGATTTAGTACGTGGTGATCTAACGCGTGGCGATTTGATACGTGGTAATTTAACACGTGGTGATTTAACGCGTGGAAACATGATGTGTTGGTAATATATTTCGTGACGATCTGACGAGTAGTAATCTAGCATGCGGTTATTCGACGCGTAGTAATTCAACGCGCAGTTATCTAACGCATTGAGATTTAATACGCGTGGTGATCTATCGCGTGGTGATTTAACGCGTGGTAATCTATCACGTGGAGATCTACGCGTGGAAATCTCATGCGTGGCGATCTATTACGCTTAGTAATCTAGCATGTGGTTATTCGACGCGTAGTAATTCAACGCGCAGTTATCTAACGCATTGAGATATCTATCACGTAGAGATCTACGCGTGGAAACCTACTACGCATGGAAATCTCATGTGTGGCGATCTACTACGCGTGGAAATCTCATGCATGGCGATCTACTACGCGTAGTAATCTAGCATGCGGTTATTCGACGCGTAGTAATTCAACGCGCAGTTATCTAACGCGTTGGGATCTAATACGCGTGGTGATCTACCGCGTGGTGATTTAACGCGTGGTAATCTATCACGTAGAGTTCTACGCGTGAAAATCTCATGCGTGGCGATCTACTACGCGTAGTAATCTAGCATGTGGTTACTCGACGCGTAGTAATTCAACGCGCAGTTATCTAACGCGTTGGGATCTAATACGCGTGGTGATCTACCGCGTGGTGATTTAACGCGTGGTAATCTATCACGTAGAGTTCTACGCGTGAAAATCTCATGCGTGGCGATCTACTACGCGTAGTAATCTAGCATGCGGTTATTCGACGCGTAGTAATTTAACGCGCGGCTATCTAACGCGTTGAGATCTAATACGCGTGGTGATCTACCGCGTGGTGATTTAACGCGTGGTAATCTATCACGTAGAGATCTACGCGTGGAAACCTACTACGCATGGAAATCTCATGTGTGGCGATCTACTACGCGTGGAAATCTCATGCATGGCGATCTACTACGCGTAGTAATCTAGCATGTAGTTATTCCACGCGTAGTAATCCAACGCACAGTTATCTAACGCGTTGAGATCTAATACGCGTGGCGATCTACCGCGTGGTGATTTAACGCGTGGTAATCTATCACGCAGAGATCTACGCGTAAAAATCTCATGCGTGGAAATCTCCGCGTAGGAATCTAATAAGTGGTAATTTAACGCTCAGTTATCTAGCGTGTAGATCTCATACTCGTGGCGATCTAACGCGTGGCGATTTACCGCGTGATAATCTAAAGTACCTCTTTACACACATTAATGCAGAGCTATTTATTGCGCGTCAATCGCCATACAAATATTATTGACCGTCAATAATCAACACGCCGGAGAACATGTTTAATGAATTAGAAATTCATTTCAACTGATTAGAATACCAGATTGAAGCGGCAATGCACTGTTTATAATCAGTCGTTTCTTAATACCGTTACTGACGTTGAACCGAGTAATCCATTTATCCCCGCGCGACATCACGTGTCGCGGTTTGACGTATCGATAGGTACACGTGACCGAAAAATCGATAGAATTCCTTCGAAAAATCGTGTCTCGTTTACGAAACAGCCTCACGTTGAATCCGACGCGTTCAAAACAGTTCCATAAAAAAAACAGCAATTTATTCGCGAGGGAAACATCCGCAAACAAAGTACGATTGTAAACAACCAATCGCACGAGAGCGTGATTTTCTTTCGTCGCGTGCGTTCTAAAACTGTTTTGGCTCGCAAATCGTCCGCTTTTTTACTCCTATAAATAAGCTGATACATATGCAACATCGAACGCATGACTTTCTTTTTTATCGCGTCTTATTTCTGTTCGATAAGCAACGTTGTAGCATTTTCAAAAGCGAGGTTCTTGTAATACAATTAGAGTTTACTTTGGACCGACAGAAAACAAAATTCACGTTTTTCCACGTGTTAAAATAAACTTGCCGGTTTAAATTCGGCGATTCCGTCTGTGGCAAAATATACGAAAATATTCTGAGACGTTCTTTCGAAAACCTTGGCTCGGTGACAATCGGAAAAAAGCGTCGATAAATTATTTCCGAAAGGAGAAAGTCCATTCACGAGAGCAAACATTCCAATTTCGACGATAAAACGTATCGAATTCTTGATAGTAGAAATCACG